CCCCCCCCCCCCCCCCCCCCCCCCCCCCCCCCCCCCCCCCCCCCCCCCCCCCCCCCCCCCCCCCGGATCCGTCCATTAAATACATGTTCTAAAAACAACAATAGTTAGATGAAACAGAACATGAGTAGATGTCTCAGGTTCGATCCTGGTCTGGGACCTCAAAGTCTCGATAAAAACACTTGAGATCTCTCAAGACCCGACTAAAAAAAAAACTACAAACACACTCTCAAAAGTGTGTGATAATGATGATAAATATTGATGTGGATGATGATGATGATAATGATGTGATGGTGATGGCTGTGGTGAGGATGATAGTGAGGATGATATAATAATAATGATAATAAATAATTGATTGATGATGATGAGGATGATGATGATAATGAATAATAATAATAAATTGATGATGATGATGATGATAATGAATAATAATTAATTGATGATGATGATGATGATGATGATGATACCATGTAGCAGTGCCTTACCTGATGATACAAAGCAGTAGATTCCATACCATTAATGGGTTTTCATTCCAATATTTGTTTAATATTCCATATTTAGGTGTAGCGAGGATGGCTTCTAAACGTATGATCCGTGAGTCCACCCTCACCAAACTCAGAGACATCAGAGAGGATGACATCAACATGTTCACCAACTTCATTCAGATGGAAGCCGTCCAAAAGCATCTAGGGAGTTACATGGAAAAGCTCAAGAAAAAATAGATTATAATTGTGTCCAATTTCGATATTTGGTAATTTACGTTGGTCCTCAGGTCAAATCTTGGCTTTTTATTTGTATATGTTATTCAAATTTGTTAACTTTATTTGTCATGAGAAATCATGATGCTTAAATTATTTAAAGTTGAGCAGCAAGAATTCCTTACACATTGATATATCCATTAAAGGTATTGTATATCGAGAAGCACATGATACTGGAAGCACCCTATGAATGTTATGAATTTTATGAATTATCCACCCATAAGCCATATTATCATGATATAAAAAAATATTTAAAATTCTTTCTTGATGTTTTGTTGACACAAATACAAATGGGATTACATGATTTCCTTTATGATCAACTTTTAATAATTCAGAAAAGTTCTGTCACGCTATAGCCACTTTGTACGGTGCCATATTCTATGTCATCAGGGACATTGTTCTGTTTACATTTCTTCAATTTGTGGGAGAATTACATGTACATGAATTGCATCAAAAACTGATTGATTGAAATTTACATTTTGTATTGATTATAATTGATCATAGAGGTGAAGGTGCATTCAGTTTAAATGTGCATAACTATTATGGTTCGAAATACACCTTACTGTTTGTTTGGAGCCAAAAGGGCATTAAATCACGTGTTTTTACGCAGAGTTAATGCCCTTCTGGCTCTCTAAAGATGATATGTCTGTGTTATTGCTGTTAGCACTATGAACATGACGGACAAAGAAAGAGGACAAAATATACAGTTCCCCATTCTACCCTCAACAATTGCTGTGGTAGACAAAAGAACATCCCTTCACTGCTATTATCATGTAAATATGTGTAGAACATGTAAATATGCATTTGACACCTGTTCTACACATTTTTACATAATAGCAGTGAAGGGATGTTCCTTTGTCTACCACAGCAATTGTTCAGGGTAGAATAAGGAACTGTATTTTGTCCTCTTTCTTTGTCCGTCATATTCATAGTTTAGTCTTGGTTGAGAGTTTATAGCAGGGTTTCGCATTATTTTTCATGTTTGGTTTATGAACCTGATAAGGCAGTGTGATGATTCTGATATTCCAACAATTTCAAAATTCTTCGCCTTCTTTTTATTGTGGAATAAAGAAGGAGAAGAAGAAGAACAAAAAGTGTGGCCAGTTTCTTCTTCAAAATGAACATTGCAAATTCCTGACCAATAAGGTGCCCACTAAGGATACAGATGCAAAATTTGCTTAATTAACTTAATAAGTTTTCTTCAGAGTCCCTAGGTACCTATGACTTTCCTCTCTTTACATGAACTTTTGTGTCTGCATAAACGAAAGGGAAAGCTGATAGCATGAGGTGACACTCCCTCGCAAAGATGATTTCACATGAGAGCTTATGTCCTCTGGCTGAATATCAATTTTCCAGTTTCTAAATTTTGTAAGCGAGCTATTAAAGCAAGTAAGCAAAAGTGTTGACACCTAATTACAGGGAAATGATTTTTCATCTAGAAATATGAAATTATATGTTAACTACAATAAGACTACACGACTGTCCTTGGATGCACAAATATTGGTAATTCCAGAAGCGGTGGAAAAATACTTCTGAAACATCTGTTTTTTTGTTCCTTTAATTTCAAACGTGGGCTATGACTGCGAGAGCTGATTTCTGGAGGTTGATTATGATATAATGTATCTTATATGACTCCAAACCTATGACAATTTAATAAAGAGATTTATTGCAAAGCAAACACTTGATGCTCACATCAACACGTTTTGTTATTTTCATGCTATCTATCATTTATGGACACACTATTTCCGCTTAATATGCACCTGGGCAAATATTTGCTGAAATTATGCCCTCATTTTTTTTTTAGGAAGACATATTGTTTCAGCATTAGGAAATAATTTGTAGGCTTGCTTTGAATCAACGCGTCCGATCGGGTGGTCGCGCTACACCACGACAGAATTTTGTGAAATGTAAGTGGAAGATCATGTGAAGATGCGGGTGGGGGGGGGGGGGGGGAGGTAAGAGCCTGAGAGAGGAGGGATGGGAGTAAAAGAGAGGGGTGGGTTTCTGTTGGGTGGAGTCGTCTCGTCGAGGAAGCAAGAAAGACACAAATAAATATGTTGCTTTGTCGGGTCAGCTGTGTCGGTATTCGTGCTCGATCCTCGTGTACTATATCAATGCAGATGTTTGAAATGCTGTGACGAATTTTTTCATTTCATTTCATTTATTTTCATATTTCTCATGTTACATATACAATTCAAAATAAAGTACTTTACTTCAGAGGTTTACAAATTTTGGGGAAACTAAATTTAAACAAGGATGGTACAACGAATGGCTTCTTTCTCTAATATTTAAAGGAAACGTCAAAGTTTCCACGCTTTGCGCGGGAGGTGGAGAACTGAATTCAGATAATTATGGTTAAGAGTCGCGAACTGGTACAACGATTCGTCTTCTTTCTATAATAATTCAATGAAATGTCAAAGCTTCCGCGCTTCGCGCAGGAAGGGGGAATCTGAATTCAGACAAAGATTGAGAGTCGAGAACGGTACAACGAATCGTATTCTTTCTCTAATAATTAAAGGGAAAACTGAATTCAGACAAGGATTAAGAGTCGAGAACAGTACAACGAATCGTCTGCTTTCTCTCATAATTTAATGAAACGTCAAAGCTTCTGCGCTTCGCGCGAGAGGGGGAAACTGAATTCAGACAATTAGGGTTAAGAGTCGAGAACGGTACAACAAATCGTCTTCTTTCTATAATAATTCGATGAAACGTCAAAGCTTCCGCGTTTAGCGCGGGAGGGGGAACTGGATTCAGATAAGGATTAAGAGTCGAGAACAGTACAGCGAATCATCTGCTTTCTCTCATAATTTAAGGAACCGTCAAAGATGAGAGGGGTTTTATTTCACAAACATTACCCCGACACTTCTGGAAAAAGGGGCATGTTTTCACAAAAGTTAGGGTCACCCGACCAAACGGGTTGATCCGATGGTTCAAAGTAAGCCACTTGGCAAGATATACATGTGATGTGTGGAATTTATTGGTAAAATTAATCTTATTTTTTATTTTGTCGTATTTTCCAAAGGGATGGTAGTATAGCTGGAATTAACAAATGCAATTTTGCGTAGTACACAATTCCATTACTTTAATTTATTTTGTACACAAAATGTCAGCTTATTTATTTTTTGTAAATTTCAAGGATAGAAAAGACTCTTCAGTTTTGTTTTTTTTGCAGCCCGTGTCCATGTTACTTATACTATCCATACTACATATTTTGCACAGCCCCTTTGAAAAGTAACCTAAGAAAACGATTTGAAAGAATTTTTGAAAGACCGATTCAGGTAAAAAAAAAAAAAACACACAAACAAACAAGATACATTGCGATCATAATACATATTTGACAACTTGAGACACCTGATGAACTTTCAATCTTTCAGATATTATTGGTCAGGCTTAATTTACGCATATATTCCATTTTTCTGCATTAATTGTTCTTCTTTCATGAAATCAACTTGTCATGAAAGCTGTATTGCAGTTCAGGAATGAGCAGCTGTTTGAAAATTTCTAGGCTTTTAAACGGAATTCATGTCTCAGGCAAGTTCTTCAGTTTTTTTCATCCCCATCTATATTCTAATATAGCTGCCTCTTCTATGTCACACGGTTGCAAAGACTTTCGAGATATCAACTTCTAAGTTATTTCCAAGATGACCAATTATTTATATCTCCTCGTTCAATGAACCGCGCATCTTTATCCTCCCGACATCCTAAAAAGTACTTCGTATCTCTGACACGTTTAATAGGAACTCGTTCGTTTTCTCGCGGAGATAGCAACGGCAGCAAATCACAAAAACGCCGTCGGTCGAAGATTGGGATAAATCTTCTCGACCCGACCGTACTTTCGCCACGCGAAGAATCCGCTGTATCGCTCGTCGTCCTTATCAAGCTTAATCAAGTAGTCGGCAAGATCTTTGGGTCTAGCGAAATCCGCAGCGTAGATGAAGGAACCGGGCGGAGCGATTTTCTCGTACGTCTCCCTCCGACCGCCGTACACGACGGGGACTACGCCGTTCAGAAGACAGTTATCCCAGAATTTCTCTGTCATGTAATCGTCGCATTGGGTGTTCTCCAACGCCAAGTAAAACTTATACGATTTCATCAGGTTGACGCATTTCTTTGAGAACCTTGGCAGGCAGGTCGCCTGACCGCATCTGCCGTGTATGTCGACATGGATGAATTCTTGAAGCCTCGACACCCACTCGTATCGCGGCCAAAATGTGAAGTTACAATTGCTGGCCATCCATGCCAATATCTTGGTCTTTCCTTCCGTATAGTTCACGGGTTGATCAGGGCTATCCATGGGACTACCTGGGACGTATCGTCCGTACGGGTGGACCACATCACTTGAAGAATGATAAGTCATAGAATAGTGGAACTGAATATCCCTAACAGAATTATCCCAAAAAGTCATCATGTTGGCACTCTCCATTGCGTAAAATACTATCTTCACTTTCTTTGGAAGAGTGTTCAAAAGTCGCTCCGAAATTTTGCTCGCGTTAGGTCTTACCAAGAGCGGGGCCAAGTTCAGTAGGGTAGCATCACTCGCAGCAAGGATAGTATCATCATTGGTTGGTATGAGGTTGATATCGCAGGGCTGGTCTGGACATACGACATACCCTGTCGGCGAAGATTCGATGTTGCCCGAAAAGCGTTGGCCATCTTCGAACAACCGTTTTAGATCGCTATACTCTGGCCAGTATCCGAAGGGTGTAACATTAGGTGTATATAAAGTTATTAATCGGGTACACTTACTACGAAACTGTACAGCATTCATATTTGATAAGTTTGCGTTTCCACCTTGGTTATAGGAGTGTACACCTGTCATACTTTTCATAGCAGTTTTATTGGCAATATTCACTACCTCCATGCCTTCTGATGACACGTTGCCCTTTAGCATGTTTCGAAACCAGTTTTTTCTGTGTCCATTGTTTGTGCTTAGTCCATTAACAGGTTCTTTCAAGGTGTTATTGTATCTTCTCGCTCGCCTTAAGTTGATTACGCGCTTTCTCAGCTCTCTCCGATTTGTGCCATTTCTTCGACTTTGAGGTTTCCCTTCGGTCCTTCTTGCTGACAAACTAGCACTTGCGTTGACTTTGGTTTCGCCAGCCGAAACATCTCCGTGTTGCTTCCTCTTTTTGTTCATTCTGCTATCAACATCATTCCCTTCTTGCATGGGTAGATGGACTTTAATCGTCTCCTTAGGGCCGAGTAGTTCAGTCGGTCTTCTTTGAGTATCGCCTCGGACGAGACCACGATGGTCTTTCTGCACGCCTTCACGCCGGTCTCGCAATTGGATGTCACCAAGAGGGATGCCTTCATCCACCTTGTCGTCACGGGTTAGTACTGATCCTGACGGGATCTTGTCACCGTGGGAGCTCACTGGGTCCCGATGCCGCACAGGGAGGATCCGATCGGACTCGTGAACCAAAAACATGTCATTTTCAGGTTGCCCGGTTCCTTGATGGATTGACCGAGTTTCCAGGTATATCAGGTTAAGCGCAAATACATATGCCACAAGGACCAGCACTATCCAAAGGACTCGCCTCGAGTTTCCCTTCCGACGTAGCGTTAAAATTTCCATGTCCAAAATAACCTGTGGTAAAAAAAAAGTGAATTGAACGTCGATTTCACAGATTTACAAATTTCCACTTTAGCGAATGCTATCACTTTTAATTTGAACACAGCAATCAATTTTGTCTTTAAAAAAAAAGAATGTCAAGAAAGAAAATATGCCGGTTTGTATTTGGCAATTTTTTTGTTGCTTTAGTATAGCAATTTGCTGAGTAGAATCACAAAATATGAATGATGATAACTCTAAATGAATTATTATTATAAACTCTCTATTTTATTAACGCCATTTTTTTAAGAATGTAAATAGGAATGACAATAGAAAACTACTTCGACCAAAAGGTGCTACAGCAGCTACAGACCAGACAGAAGAGTGGATACAATCTGTCGCGTATCAAGGTATTTCAGGGCCTCGAGCAAGCAATGACATAGCGGCCCTTTCAAACATATCGCATAGGCCTAATTGTACAAGCAATTGAAGGGAACGAATTAAAAAGACACCTTCATGAATTCGTCATCACAATGAAATATAAATACTTCAGAAAATATTTGCATTTTACAACCTCAAAAGCTCAATTTCTACAAAATCCTTAAGGGATGTGACTTTTCTTCCTTTTAACCAATAAATCAAATCAAATCAAATCAAATCAAATCCCCATTCTCTTTTTCTCTTTTACAGTTACGTTGGGCCTCCTATCTTTTGCTTTTTTTCGGGCCCCCTCCAAGTGCCGCCGGGGCAGGTGCCCTTGTCTCCCATTTGAAAGCCACTGGATATAACATTGATAGTCAACTCGCTCTATGTACCTCTGTCATCAATTTGTGACAAAACAAGATTAAGAGATAAAGGGAAAACAAGTAAGTGACACAACACACATAGGCGCTACACACAAATACAGGATGTCTAATTATCTACACGAGGGAAGGTATAGGGGGAATAGGAAAGTCCAGGTTTTGCCATATTTTTCAACTATTGCCTCTTTTATTTTGTTTTCTTTATGATCAATAAATAGAAATGCAAAGATCTGCATTATGATATTGAAAGAGCACTCTCATTTTGGCCTCACACACCCCAGTATCTACTTGTTGTTGTTCTTGGGTTTTAAGGCTGACCAATCTAAAAATATTATTTCTGCCACTCCCACCCCTATTGCTTTTATATTTGTTTTATTTCCATAACAAAAATACATGAATAATGATAAATATTTGTTCACCAAGGGAAGCCTCATTGGTTTGTTATGTGCTTCTTAATGGCCCTGCCACTATGATTATCCCGTCGACTGCCAGGTACCCATTTACATCTAGGCGGAGATTGGAATGGCACATATGGATTAATATCTTGCCATCGGGCGTTAGTGCCGGGCTGTGATTCACCGATTCGAACCCTCAATCCTTGGGTTGAGAGCCATACATTATTATACCATATATATAGCATGGAAGATTAGAAATTGGCCGATAGCTCATTATTTTAGCTCTTATGGCAGACAACAGCTGTACATCCAACGGGTTCCTAATATTTCAAAACGATTATGGCATACACTTTACAAACAGAAGAAATTAATAATACGATCACGATTTCACGTGGAAAGTAGGCTTAGAATGTCTCATTGAGCCTATAAAAACAATTCTCTTTGAGGGCCCTGTAATCAATATAATTCCCCGCTCAAAATATTCAAAGGAATTTCTTCCTACCAGGTACACATGCATTTATTAGGAGGAAGAAGATGGAGGATAAGGGGAAGGTGAAGAATCATTCCAGCGACAATAGTGATTAAAAACTGATTACATCCTCTGTGATCGAGGTATACACATGCACATTACATACTCTGTGGTAAGAAGGAAGAAAGCAAGGAAGTAGGAAGGCAATGATAAAAGAGAGAGAGAGTTTAGCCCGGGTTCAAATTCATTTTTCGTGAAATTATGAAACTCGGCACTGATGATGATATATCTGCCATGTTATTGCCAAGTGACGCTACATAAAAATAATACCAGAGTGCCTTCTATTGTCATCGAATATTGTTCAAATAGCATTGTAGAGACGATTGTAGAGACTGCTAACTAATCTGACCAATGGAATCAACCGAGCGGAATCAACTGTTAAACGAATTTATCACGAATCCTGAAATATCAATTTGTTACCGATTTTCATAGTAGCATTCAAGAGCAGCAGTAGCGAACGTTTGTCGTTAAAATTCGTAAAACGTTGTTTAGATTGCATTTCCTTAAGAATAACCATGAAACATGAAGCTAGATAGAACTATGATCGATACAATTATATTGTCGTGAATTGTTGAAAACAGTCAGAAAACATTAGAACTATAATAAACTAGAATTTAAATCGTCACGAGGACGATTAAGGTGGTCTGTCTTCAAGTCTTATGATAGATTATAATACTTACTATACTGAGAAAGGGAGAAGTTATATAGACATGTAAACAATGATGATCATCATGATGATGATGATGATCTTGATAGTAATGGGGATGACGATGTTGATGATGATGATGATGATCATGATGATGTTGATGATGATCATCAACAGACCATGATGACATCTGATTGAAAAAAATGAGGGAACATTTAGATAGCATATAGTCTCAGCTACAACATACTCCAAAATCAACAAAAACCAAACGGAAATAACGGCGATATTGCTCGCAAAAGACAGGAATGTAGAATCCAGATTTGAGAAAAAGTCATCTCCCATAGGGACTACACTCAGAAAGTAATGGATCAAGTGATAATAGGGGAATAATAAAGTAAACATGGTTGTTTATAACATTATTTGTGATTCTACGTGTTTTAATAAGCAAAGGAAAAGGTACAGTGAAAGGTCAAAAAGAAAAAAAAAGTGAAGAAAAAAATTGTTGGAGACGCCCGGACTCGAACCAGGGACCTCGAGGTCGGAAGTCAAGTGCGTTACCGATGTACCAAAATATTTCCCATAGAGATTACACGTAAACGGAAAATGGAATTATCAAATCCCACTTTGTAAGTGAAATATGAGCATGATCCCGGCATCTGATCGAAAATTAAAGGGCACACTTACGATAGCATATTGACTCAGCTACAACATACTCAAAGCTCAGCGTAAACAAAGATAAAACGACGGAGATATTGCTCGCGAAAGACAAGAATGTAGAAACCAGTTTTGAGAAAAAGTCATGTCCCATAGAGAATACACGCAAAATGTGAAAAATTGACATGCCTCCTTTAATCGCAAAAATACGCCATGATGCCATTGTTCAAATGAAATATCGTGGGAAATACATTCGTAGAGAATATTCTCAGCTAAAACATATCAAAATTTGAAAGAAAATTGATCAATATTTACAGAGATACAATCAATTTTCCAAAAATCTGCTAACGTCATAATATGCAAATTGAAATTTTAAGTTCGGAGGCCATTATGATGACGTCATGAGTTAATTGAGGGTCAAATTAGACATAAAATCATATCTCCGACTCATGATCTATCTAAATATGAAAAAAAATTGGGGGTATCTATCCATTCTGAAGAGTTAAAATGAATTTTGTATAGGCTTGTTTTTGCACATGTAATGTGGATAGGGATAATGCAGATCCGCGTGTGCTGTAAACTTTGACGGACGCTCATTGCGTTATCACTGGTCAGAAAAAGGTGAACAAGGTATCAAAATGCTTGGAAAAATGTGGTTGATATGATAGAGAAAATTTGGCGTTTCCATGTTGTAAAATGTCAGTACGCGCACTTACGCGCGGAAACGCGCGCAAAAAAGTGCTCTCGCGCAAAATCTTGAAAATGCTTACAATGGCCTGAAACGTGTGCAAAAAAAATTTGGAACGAATTTGAGCATTTTAAAATTTTAAAGCGCGCGTACGTGCGCGTCGAGGTGCGCGCGCAAATTTTGTTGACAATTTTAGTTGAACTTTGACCTGAAGTTGATGTATACCAAATATGGTTTATTTTTGAAGACTCGTTATCGAGATATGATAATGACTTGATTTTTACAAAATGGCGCCTGGATGACGTCACGATGACCCCATGAACTTGAAAAAGGTTTCGGGAACTTGATATTATAGGGCCTAATGACTATCAGAAATTTGAAGGAAATTGACCAAGTCGATTTCGAGTAAACGTATACACAAAAAAAGTGTACGGAATAAATAAAAATAAATAAAGAAAGAATAAAGAATAAAGAATAAAGAATAAAGAAAGAAAATTCTAACGAAATCAATAGGTGATCTGTCATCGACAGACCACCTAATAAGACATCATGCGATTATGTTAACAAGACAATAGTATAGAATCACTGTGTGTATTAGATGGCAATTATTTTGTTGCACTGTAGGATACAGCTCATCTATATAAAAAGGTTATTTTACAATTATTCGTTCTTGGTTTAGGGAAACTATAAGAACCGGACACAAAATGATTTTAGAACGGAGACAATATATATTTTTCTGCTTTTAATTAGCATGGGGCGTTTGCTATGTTCCGGTACATTATTATTTAAAAATTAATGTTGGATATCATAATGCTTCTTGATAGACACTTAAAACATACCTTTCCCGTGGTTGATCTTCCCCGTTTTCCTGCCATCGTTGCACCGTTTGATCACGTTTCAATTGCAGCACTTTTTTTCTCTCCTTCTCTCTCGTTATCCCACCAACAAGTAGAAAGAAATTCTCAGTCTCAAATCGATCTATACGAGAAAAACCTGAAGAAAACAAAATCTGAAAGATACTTCAAAAGGCCACCAAAGAAATGTTGGCCGCGAACAGTAGAATAATTGCGAGTCTAGTAGTGTAGCTCGTATTCGCGTTTCGAGCGTTTCGAGTTGAGGCCTCAGATCGGGCCTCAGACGTAATGTTGCCGAGAACGTGAAATGTCAACAATTGGAAGACGGAATAATAGAAATACAAGTCATGTATATTATACGCCTGCGTGTGCGTGTACCCGTACGGGCATGTCGGGCCAAATATTCTTTCAAAGGTTACGAGACTTCAATATTTGAACTGCAATGACGTGGTTCGTTTTCCTACAAGTATTTGTGAGGTCAAGTTCCGGGTCAAGTTATGGTGCTCCAATTGATCAAATCGTTTAAGAACTTACTGATCAGTGTATGTTGATATTCCTAGATATTTAAAGTTAAAATGTGGGAAATGAAAGGTGTAACTTTTTATCTTTCGTTTTTTCATGATTTCAACACTTCGGTATGATAAATCACAGGTCATCGCTCATCATATTTTGTTTTGCTTGTAGAGGCGTCTTCATAGCTGTAAGATAGTTCGTTTGATAAATAATACATCTTCAATAAAATTAGAACATCTTTGTTAGAAATAAATCTAAATCTTTGTTAATAAAAAACCTTCAATAAAATTAGAACATCTTTGTTAGAACTCCTACTCACAGTTCAAGTCTCTGTAAGAAACGTTTCTGTTCTCAACATATTATTTTGTTTAATTATGTCTTACATTGTACTACCCTTATATAACTTGTATTACTATAATATTCTTTGTATTGGATATCCTATATGCTTCAATTCATACCTGCGTATTATGCGTATGTAACCTTGCTTTTAGGTTTTACAAAAAAAATATTGTAATTCTATTATTGCAAAATTATGTCCTGAAGTACAGGGCGTATCATAATAAAGGATATTGAAGTTTAATGACGATTTATATGAAAACTACTGATTTCATAATCAAGCATTTTATGTCTGTTGTAAAGGACAGAATGTCCTCTTTTTAATGACACCCCGATCATACTACTACTGTCACAGTTGACTGAATAACAAAGCATTGCTGTCCACCATGTGAAAGGTGCACTGTGCCAAGTTTGATAACATTTCCTTCTTAGACACATAATCCACTCATTGTTCAGCATTTCAATATGTCTGGGCTGACACAAGCACAAAATATTTAGAATTTATCTGTGAATGCTAACTTGTCACAGTGCACCTTTCACATGGTGGACAGCAATGCTTTGTTATTCAGTCAACTGTGACAGTTGTAGTATGATCGGGGTGTCATTAAAAAGAGGACATTCTGTCCTTTACAACAGACATAAAATGCTTGATTATGAAATCAGTAGTTTTCATATAAATCGTCATTAAACTTCAATATCCTTTATTATGATACGCCCTGTATGTTAAACTTTAACTTATGTGTATTTTACTTTCTTTATTAAATCACTTGATGGTCGTATGCCCACAATAACATTTTCACACAGCTGCGCCAGGAGTGTTACTTTTGACAGACATGGCGCATTATAAATGTTCACTGTTATTATTATTATTAAAAATACAAAAAAAAAAAAAAAAAAACCTTATTGAAATAAATGAACAGATGTATATAGTCATATATAGTAAGCACGTTTACAGTATACTTTTACAGATTATATAGCAACTAAAGAAAAACACTTCAGGTGCTCAACTGCGTTGACAAGTCTGTATTTCTCTTCGCATTAAGTTGACGGATTTAAAGAAAGTGCTATTGGCACTTTCTAAGATAAACTTAGCCGCTGTACATCATGTAGGATATAGGTTATATCCTATGACCAGGCGCGTACGCAGGATTTTTTTCAAGGGGGGGGGGGGTAACATTTATAAATCGGGCCGAAAATTTCGCAACGACTCAGCCAGCCGCTGAATAAGCGGGGGGGGGGGGGGGGTAAGAGGTCACTTTTTTTCTCTTTTTTTGAAAAATCCAAAAGGGGGGGGTTTTAGGGGGGTTATAGGGGGGTTTTCGTATAGAAAATTACCAAAGGGGGGGGGGATAACCCCCTAACCCCCCCCCCCCCCGTGTACGCGCCTACATATGACAATGTATGGTGTTACCAACTTTCTCCCATATGGCTTCTTTTAGTTACGATGCATAGGGCCCTATGCATCATTATGGGCGAAGATTTGTTATACCAACGTTGTCAACGGAGTTTGTAAAATATTTATGTGGTAATTCTCTTTTTAAATCTCCTCAGTCGCAAGACAATATCTTGTATATATATTGTACATATACAATGTATTCACACACACACAAACACAGGCACGCACACAAACACGCACACACATACAAACGCACGCACACACATAATCAGTCAAAATATAGACCTTGTCCAATTCGAATTTGTTTAAAGCCAAAATTCTGGTCTTGCAAAAACATATTCTACCTTAATTGTTCGCACGATACATAATGACGCCTGCAAATTTATTTTTTCGCAAAGAGCACTTGAAATGTTATATTGTTAACTTCTGTCGAGTCCTTTGTCAATATCTGTTGCCGTTCGATGATATGGCCTCAGCCTCAGATGGCTCAGTCAAATATAAATACTGTAAGCATGCGTGACCAAGAAAACGCGTTTAAAGGGGTGTTTATTGGGGTATTTTTAGATTGGACGCGGTCCGCGCCGTGCCGCATTACGGGGTTCAAAACGTCAATTTGGGGGTCATTTCAAGAAAAAGGGTACTTTTTCAAAATGATTCAAAATCCTGCTGTACGCGCCGGTATACGCGTTTAGGTGTATTTTTCTACCCTCAGGGCCGGCGGGGGGGGGGGGGGAATAATTTGTCGTGTTTGCTCATTGCATAGTGTGGCTACGGCCTCGAGAGTTATCTAGCGCGAGTCGGTTTGAAGCGATTTTAAGATCTTCAGTAGATCAAGATGGATTCCCACGATACCGACCCAGACCTACCAATGTAAGTCTCACGTCTATAACTGGTTCCTTACATTTTGTTTTGTGTAGTAGAATACTAACTGTTCACTGTACATTGTATACTTTTTGTAAACACTACATGTACTTTTATACAATTAGATGAAATTTGAAATGCATTTCTTTTTTTCAAAGAAAGGACTGATGATGGCTGTGCATTAAATCCATTTGGAAGTCTACAGGTCGATGTTATTGCTTCGCTATTAAAATAAATGTTTACATTGTGAATTTTAAATCTAAAGCGCAATTTGATTTAGTTTGCCTTGTCAATAACTTGAATGGTAATCCTATCGCACTTCTAATTGCTCAAGGAGTTACAATAAATGTTAAGGAGTAATTTTTTTTGAAATACCCGTTTATAGGGTGTGAATTTGGGGGGAAAATACGCGAAATCCTCATTTAGGTTGTATTTTGGTTTCGGAAGAAATCCTCGTTTATGGTGTGCCTGGAAAACGTGTGGTCACGCATGATTACTGTATTTCTACATAACTGAGACACCCGGGCCTCAGCCACATACCCTGGCGGGGACAAACTTTGTGCAACTTTTTGCCAGAGAGAAACATTGTATTTCTCATCATGGAAACATCTGATACTGTTAAGCAACAGAAATGTAAACGGTTATTTTCGTTTATGATCTAAATAATTACTTGTTTCATATACGGTACATAATGGCGTCCTAAAGGGAAGTTCGATACGGGACGCGAGACAATGATTAAAATATGGAACAACTGGTCACCCCTCTAATAATTCCTTGAATAAACTTACCAACAAAAGTTGACGTGTAGTCAGCAACTGCTATCATAAATTAATATTTTCTTTATGGTTTAGACCGGTTGTGGTAAAATTGCGGTTCAAGGGTTTTGGGTGCAAAATATCCATTCAACATTGTTTAAATATTGCCTTTAGAGGTCTAGATGACAATACTTCAACTTAATTCGCAAAAAAGCAGAAATATGTGCCCAAATGTTAAATGTTGAAGTGCATTCGGGGTATCTATCCAGGCCGGTTCAATATGATAATTTACCAAATTATTATATCAATTATTAGGAGGTTTCCCGGCAAAATTTGTATCATCACGTATTAGTCAAAACATATTAAAAGGCTACAATGAAAACGAAACGTTGATTCTTCGAATCGACCTACATCATATCCTGGCTAGGTAAAAAGTTAACAATGCGATTGAATGTATTACTTTCAATTTACGTGAAGTAAGGGACCGTTGTATAAGAAGAAAAAAACAGGATAAAGACAGATTTAATAGATTCATATACTCGGATATAATCCATTTCAAACATGTCAAATAACAGAAAACCTTTAGTAGTTATGGATTTATAATGACCAATTAAGCAGAAATAATCAGGCTTAGTGGTCATGAAAAATTATGATTAGATATTTTCCTTTAGGCATCCCCTAAACATCGATCAAGCAATGAATGATTTATCATCAAAAGGCTAGAATGAAAACGAAACGTTTATTCTTTGAATCAGCCTACGTCATTTCCTGTCAAGGAGGAAGTTGACAACGCGATTGAATTGATCGCTTTCAATTTACGTGAAGTAAATCATAAATCTAGGATTGTTTATAAACTGTCCAGATTTGCTGATCATCACCTTCTACGATTTGAATTATAAGCGGTCATTTTTATCCGTCATTGTAAAGACCACTTTCTCAGAATGAATTCTCGTGATACGATGTCGAGCCAGGATACCTCCCCAACCCGTACGATCGACCTGATGGTGTCACGATCTACCACGAGTCGACGTCAGTGGTGGCTGTCATCGAAGGGATCACCATTGTCGCTATCTTCCTCGGAGCGTTGATTGCCAATCTGATCGCGATGGCGACGATCCTTCGAGACAAGGTTCTGAGAAGGAACCTTCATAACTGGCTGATCCTGAACCTCATCATAAACGACCTAAGCTTTACAATCATGAACATATCATTCGCCATAGTTTCTGTGTATGACCACGGTTATTTTCTCCTTCACAACAAAGCTGTGTGTTTTGTGAGTCTTTTTTCTTTTATGTGCCACCATTCTCATGTACGATGTTCCTGTATAATTTTTATGATATGGAATATGGAAGGAATTTTGTACTACTTATAAAAAGAATATGTAACATTTTGTGGTAAATCTATTTAGTTTTATAATTGGTATTTCACATACCAAAATCACAAATCTAATACGGATCCTCTCCTACTCAAAAAGAAAAGTATCAATCGATCGTTTAAAACTCCATTGAATATGAACCTTTCAGAAATCAAGCAATCCTGAAATAGCTTCTCCATACATAAAAGGGGGATTTATGCTGTAGCTGCCACTCAGCAATCATTAATAAATCATCAATATTCTATGATAATTTTTTGTTTGTTAATACAGGGTTGCAAAACTTGCATGGCAAATTATTCGGGGGTAGTTTCCGTGTGAGATAGTCAAATAATAGATCATACTTTGTGATTAATCATCACATGAAGAATAATCCCCGTGTAATGGTCCTGGCATGTTTTGTCGAAAAGCTGATATTCTACTGGGTATACGAACTCGATATTAATGCAATCTAATTTATCATTATGTGCAGATTCACGGGAACCTTCTTTTTGCCTTCGGGAACTTTGCTACAGTCGTGGCCATCTCCGTGGACCGCTACTTGGCCGTAGTCTGGTCGGCCCGCTTCCCTCCTTCCAAATCAAGAACCATCGTCTTTATCGTGTTCTGTTGGGTCGCCGCCATTGGATCCTCCTTTCCCTCCTTATCCGGAGTAGTCTCTGCGATCAGGTATCAGAAAGTTTCTCACAGCTGCTCGCCAGACTGGCAGGAAGACTGTTTCTATGGCATCAGCCTCAACCTAATCATCTATGTAGTCATCGTACCTACGATGGTTTTATGCTATGTTGGTGTGTTCCTGAAAGTGTGGCGTCAACAACGGTTGCTTAGCTCCTACGCCGACGAGAAACCTAGTGTCGTGAGCAACGTATGTTCCCTTGAAGACAACGACGATGACGACCACGACCACGACCAAGACCGTGTGCCCCATGCTGACAATGACATGCCAATGGATGGCATTGACCGGTCGAGTGAAGGACCTACCTCTTTGAATCTTACCCCAGAGCCTATGGACTACTCCCAGTCTTCAAACACTGAGGAACCTGACGCTGAACATGCTGAAGGAGAAAACGAGGAGAAAAAGACTATTCAACAGGAAAATGTGATAAAAGGAATCAAGAAAAAAGATCGTAGGTCCATGCAGAAGAAACTCAACATTGACAAAAGAGTTGCCCTGACTGGTAAGTACTTCCTGCGTTGGAGTCTCTTAACGTATGTAGAAATGTTTAATCTTGCGCAAATCGCAATTTTAATTTGACTGTTTTACCATAAGTGTCGTAATAAAATGCCAAGTTTTAACATGACAGAATGTATACATTCTCATTGCTACCCTCGCAATGATTGTACATGAACTTATTGGCGATAAGAGGATGCAAAGTCTTTCTACTAGCAAAATGCGGAACATTTTTTTGCCCCTCTATCACCTCGTACTTTGGTAACTTCTCTGCAACTTCATAAAACTTTAGCCTACGCCCCAAGGTTACTTCATGTCGTGATGAACCAAAATAGGTCATCATTAGCTCAGCCTACATCCTTCCTTTGAAGTCACACCTCTGCATTGTCTTCTCTTTAATTTTCTTTTAACATATTTTCCAGAATACTGAAATAATGTCACCATCTGGCTTCTGTTCCTTGTTGATGTGCCTTAAATTCGTCGCTGTTTTCACGAAGTGACGGTAGTGAAAAAAATGCATTCACTTTGCATTACGATTTTCCTCACTACCGTCACTTTGTGAATGATTTCCATCCAGCACCCTTTTTTCCAACATTGTTTTGTTTTCCTTTTTCTTTTCAGGAACCCTACTGGTGCTAACCACCTTGGTCTGTTGGTTACCGTACTGCATCGTTAACTCTTGTCTCCTATTGATCAACATCCCACATTGGATGGGCGTGGCCACGGTGTGGTTAGGTTACTCCAACTCTCTGTTCGACCCTCTAATCTACTCGTTCATGAATAGACGAATTGGAGCCCGTTACCGTGGCATGTTCAGACGTTGGTCGATTGGATTGAATACAGGAGAAGCATGATTTTTTTTGCTCCATGAAAAGTATAAACATTTTGCCGTGGAAACTCGGCGAAGGGCATTATATTCTTATTAATGCCTAGGTCGCAATTACCGCGGCGGCCGTGGGGTCTAAAATATTAACGACCAATAGCACTTATAGGGCCGCCAGCACGGTCACATACGGTATTAGTCACATTATGTTAGGGTAGACGCACGGCATATTTTGAATTTGTAGAGACAGAAACCTGCGGCTGTCGTACGGCCTTTGAAGTGATGACTCACGGTCGCCTTAGGGTGTCCCTGCAGTGGCCGTACAGTTTTTTTTAAAAACAAAGGCAGACTTATGCCTGGATTACATTTGGCCTCCGATTAGTCTACGGAGCCCGTATCCTGCCCGTATCCCCTTTTTCGTGCGGGCTCCGTGCGGAGGCAGGCGGCGGCGGTGAGATTTTCGTACGGATTCACGGGCTCCGCAACCTCTACGATATTGTTTCGCGGGAAGTTATACAAGTTTGCAAGCACTACTTTAAACAAAAAGATCTTTGTCATCCCTTGCTCATTTTTCTTGATTGAGGTGTCATATGAAAGGGCAGAAACTCAACTTTCTCGAAATGTGATATATTCTCTTTGAAATTTAGATACCGTCCGCCAAATGACTTTTTGGTTTCTTCTCTGCAAATTAATTCTAATCACTCATGCGTGAAATATGCATCATATGATTTGCATCAAATGAAAGAGGAAGATCTAAGCTTTCCAAACATGTGTCATTTATTAATTATAAATGTGACTAAGTTTTGATAAATCATCGATAATTCTCGGTTACGTTTTTACTGGGACGCACTGTATAATCAAGAGCGTAAGAGTAATCCATTCTTCGATTTATTAATTCATATTTTTCATGTATACACCACCTATTTCAAAGAATGTTTTGCTTGCATTCAAATCATATTCTATCACGGTCAATTGTACATATTTCTTCTTGTTTATGGTCACTGTGCTCAACATTAGAATATTATTTGAAACCTAAATTAGGCTCGTTTTCGACTCAAGAGCTCTGGGTTTCATACAATACAGGATTAAAAATATGAGAAGGTGCGATGGCTCAGTGGTAGAGGAGGTGCGGTGGCTCAATGGTAGAGCAGTGGTCTCGTAACCGTGAGGTCTGGGTTCGCAACCAAGTCCAATGGCGGATCCAGGGGGGCAGGGGGCCCGCCCCCCCCCCCCCTTGAGAAAAAAAAACATGTAAAATCACGTGATTTTTACCTTTTGGGGGGGGGGGTTGCCCCCCCCCCCCCCCCTGGCGCTCAAGGGGGGGGGTGCAAATTTTAAAATTTTGGAGGACCAAAAAGAAAAGTGTGCAGGGGCGGGTCTAGGGTTTTCCATGAAAAAAGGGGGGCATGCAATGAACGAAATTGCGAGCGCGAAGCTTTTACGGCGTGGGGTCCCGGCCTGCTTAAGGGCCCCGGAAACTCGATGCTCTATGGTATGCATTCTGAGACATTTCTGAATGCGTAAACTGAACTTTAATGTAATGTGAATATTTTTTAGCTTTTTTCCTGCTATCTTGTTTTCGGTTACGATTACGATTACGATTTCTGTTAATAAAACAAAACCATGAAAAGGCCAATATGAAACGTAGTTATAACATTTGATTTGTAATACAATAGAAGTAATGACAAACCTTATACGATAATTAGAAAGGTTTTTTTTCCTATGCGTTATTTTCATGAGACTTCGAATGAAATTTGAATATTTGAACGATGTCCCTGTCATGTTTTGTCATGTATGTTTCTTTTTTAGTTTTTTTTTGTATATGTAAATTTCTTAACTACTGTTCGGGGAACTATGCCTCCACAAGGCCATTTGGGCTTGTTTTTTAGTTCTCTATTTTCATTTTATTATATATTGCAAATGCTTATCATGGTATATACCTTTTTATTGCATTTATTGAAAATGGAAATGAATAAAATTATTTGAATTGAATTGAAACCTCATCGCCAGTTGTCGAAATGGTCGTAATTATGACCGTGATGACAAAAATAGTAATAGTAATTGTAATAGAGTAATTCAGTCGTCGATTTATTAATTCAGATAAATCATACAGCATCTACTTCAATGAATGTTCTGCTTGCATTGAAATCATATTCTATCACGGTCCATTGTACTTTTTTACATAACAATAATAGTAATATTAATAAAGATAATAATGATAATATAAGGATGATGATGACGGTATAAACAAATATATATAACAATAATAGTAATAATAATAATAATAATAATAACAAACAGAATTTTCTTATTACAAAAACGAGTAGTGAGAATAATAAATAATGAAACATTCTTTTCCCATACGGAACATTTATTTGTTGAAAACAAAATCCTTAACATACACGACTTATTTTCATTCCACCTAGGAACATTCATGTTTCAACTAACATCCAAACAAGTCCCCAGCGCTCTTACAAAATTATTTACAACTAATGCACATATACACACATACCCTACCAGACGTCGTAACCAATATCATCTTCCTTTAACCCGAACAGTCTTCTCACAAAAAACAATTGTATATACTGGACCAATGTACTGGAATACGCTTGAAGCCTCCCTACAACAACACTCAAGTATATTTTGCTTCAAGAAATACCTTAAGTTCACTTTGTTGAAGTCACACTCAGCTCCAGCAATACAACCCTAAGTCGTTAACCTGCGCACAATAAATTAGTTATGCACAAACAAACTTTAGTACGCAAATCTATCACTAAGCACGGAAGTGCTTTCTTTTTTTATCTGGCCTTCTTACTATTGCCTTCCGACCCCTCCCAGTGAATTTCTTTCTTTCCTCTCTAAAGAAATACAAATAGACTTCCGATTACGTGGCACTACTCTTACCTTCCCATCCTTCTCATCCTTTTTTGTGTTTCATCACATGCTTCTTTTTTTCTTTTCTTTTCTTTTCTTTTATTGTCATCTATTTTATTTTTCTATCGTTCATTATACGCTTGTACAAAATACTATTGGACCATCTTAGGCGTGTGTCCGGTTTTCGCGTGTTGTTCCCGGAGAGTCTCCGGACGCGCGGGTTCGGCTGCCTATGCCGGATCTTTGTGTTTCTTTTGTCGGGGCCTGTTCGGTGCGCAATATTTTATGTTGCTCGTTGCTAGGTCGGACAGACCTTGAGCTTGCTCGACCTGGCAACGGCAGACTGTTGTACGCTAGATGGGCCTTGGCGCGGGGGACCCGGGGATCTGGCGCGGGCGAGTGGGCTCGTGCGTCTCTGGTCTCTCTGGGAGCGGACATGTGTAGAATTTGATGCACGTTGATGATGGTCCATTATTTAATTTATACTGGGAATCTCGCTCAACAAGCCTAGCTTTTCTGAGATTCCCTTTTTTCCCCTCTCAGTTAAATCAAGCAATTTAAAATATGTTGTTTAATTCTCAAACATAAATGTACTTTGTAAACTTATTTGATTACGAACATACTTGTCAGTTTTTCGTTACTTGTATAATTCATTTGTTCTATTATATATTGTATTACTGTATGGTTTATATATGTCATTTAATTTGTGGATATTTGAGTGGAAAATAAATAAATCAAATCAAATCAAATCAAATAATAATAATAATAATAATAATAATAATAATAATAATAATAATAATAATAATAATAATAATATAATAATAATAATAATAATAATAATAATAATAATAATAATAATATTAACAATAATTATCAAGTTCAAGTTCAAATTATCGATGCTTGTCAAATGTTATATGTGTATATATATATGTGTGTATATATAAATGGCAGGTGAAAGAGTTGCATGGCGTGCTCTCGTGAAGACCACAGCAGCGCTTTACAGCGCCACCTGAAGTTGATGATGATGATATATGTGTATCGCAATACCATGTAAGCTGACGAATGTCCGTCGTTAATATAAATGATAATAGCAATCATACTCATAATAATAATAATCATAGTAATAATAATAACAATAATAATCAAGTTCAAATTCTTGTAAAATGTTTATATATATATATATATATATATATATATATATATATATATATGTGTGTGTGTGTGTGTGTATACAATGTATCGCAATACCATGTAACACGACGAATTTCCATTGTTAATGATAATAATAATAATAATAATAATAATAATGAAATAATTTTTATAATAATAATCATAAAATAATGATTATAATAATAAGACAATATAGCAATGATAATAATGCAATTGATTATGGATACTTGTAAAACCATATCGCCATTCCACCTCACTTGATATAGGCCTACATGTATATTATTTTCGATGCATGGCTATATCTTTGTTTTGATTGTTAATTGTTTGTTTTTGTTTTCTGTCAACACAAAATATATTTTATTGATTTTTGTAACTCACTCACTTGTAATTCACTTGATCCAGGATTATTCAATCTTCAGACTGATATATATATATATGTGTGTATATACCATGTATACACAATGTATTCACACATACACATACACACACACTCACAATCAGCCAATAGGCCTTATTCAATCCGAATTTCTGGCTGTGCCAAAAACAATATATTCTGGCTTGTTCGTGCTTATTTTTTGCAGAGAGCACTTGACATCTTATTTTGAAAACTTCTTTCTTGTCCTATGTCAATATATGTTGCAGTCCGATGATATGGCCTCAGCCAAGGGGCGGCGGAGCATCTTCCAAAGTGGGGGTGGGCACCCACCAAAAAAATAACACTGTCTAGAACAAAAAAAGGGGCACCTACAAAGGGAAACCTCAAAGTGAATATACACTATTTTTAGACATTGGTATATACCCCTACATCGTCATGATTGTGATAACACTACCAAGGATGGCATCAATTATAATCGTTTTTCTCTTTACGTGGTACAATGTACTGCTTAAAGGGAAATCCAACCCAAATAGACAACTACTCTAAAAGATAGCAGACAAATCAGTAAAGAAAACTGATAAAGTTTTAATTGAATATGACTAAGTATAAGAAAGTTATGAATTTTTGAAAGTTGTAATTACTTTACGTTTCGGCACTTTATATTGGTTGTAGCGGTAATGTCAATGTGATGTAGTGCCGGACTACTTTCCCATCTGTTCCAATATATTTAATGACTATAGGAGGGTCTATTTTTTTTAAAGGACCTATAATAATATGCTATCTATAATATATTTCGAGTAGTGCCCTAAGCCAAGGGAGAAGTAACTTACGAGAAAAACAGAAATTAATGATATTTTTTTACACGGGAAATGGGAGAGTTATCCACGTCCTACGTAACAATCCACTGACCGAACTATCAATTTGGGCATAGACTTAGTGATCTCTTATTTTTAACAATCATAACTTCCTTACTATTGGTCCGATTCATTTCAAACTTTTGCATTCTGTTCCTGTTATTTGTCTGCTTTCAAACAAATCAACTTATTACAAGGGTCTGGTTGCAACATGCTTTGCAGTAGGGTGTGATGGTCTGGATATTAATTTTCGAGCGAGCGAAGCGAGCGAGCAAAAAAATTAAGATTTGTGAGGTCGCAGTGCGAAAATTTACATCTTTTAAAAGAGAACTAAAAACAAATCCTGATGAGTTTTAAGCAAAATTTGATAAAGAAAGACTGAAAAGTTCTTCTATTATAAGTAACATTATTGTAAAAACTATAACTGCGAGCGAGCTTTAGGGGAAATGCAAGAAAAAGGAGCTCTAAGTCGCTTTGAATTAGGGGTGCATGTTATGGAGAGAGGAAAAATAGGCACTAATCAGAAGGAAAAGGACAGTTATCAGAAAAAAGGTGCACGTGTCAAAGTAAAAAGGGCACTTGTCCGAGAGGTGAAAATGGGGCACTTCTTGTACCTGAAAAGGGACACTCAACAAAGATGAAAAAAAGGCATTTGTGAGAATGGAAATGGGGCGTCTGTTGAAGGAAAAGGGCGCTTACCGGTATCAGATTTTAATAGGGGCATTTGTCAGATATAAACAGGGGCATTTCGAAATGGGCTCATATCCGAAGAAAATATAGTACTTATTAGCAAGGAAAAGAGGCACGTGTAAAAATAAAAGGGGCACTTATCAGAGGTGAAAAGGGACATTTAAGAGAAAGTGAAGATTTTCGTATTACAAAGGGAAAAGGGCTCTTATCGGAAGAAAAAAGTTACACTTATTAAAAAGGAAAAGGGGCACAAGTCAAAGTTTTAAACAGGGCAAAAATAGCAGAGGTAAACGGTGGATTTATCGCTCCTGAAAAAAGGCACTCACCAGAGATGAAGAGGGGCAATTATAAAAATGGCAAAGAGGCACTTTTTAAAGGAAAAGGGGTATGTATAACAAAAAAGCAGGAACACTTACCATAGGGGGAGGGGCAATTATTACAAAGGAAAAGGGGCACTTTTCAAAGTTATAAGGTGTATCTGTCAGATTTGAATAGGGGCGATTATCAAAGGTGAAGGGGCAATTCTCAAGAGGTGAAAAGGGGCACTTATGAGAATGGAAACTTGACGACAAAACTTATTGCAAAGGAAAAGGGACAGTTGTCGAAAGACAAGGGGCACTTATCTGATTTTAATAGGGGCATTCATGAGAAGGTGAAGAGGATCTTATTACAAAAATTGGGTAGAGTGCACTTATCAAAAGGAAAAGGGGCATTTATTACAAGGGGAAGGGACAGTTCTTGCAAAGGAAAAGGGGCACTTTGGGGGTACCTGAACAAGTGGGGGCACTGTGCCCCTCGGTACAGGTTAAAGAGGAATTTATCTAAGTTTCCTTTTAAATATCTGTTAAGATCCAGAAGGACTTTAACTCTGTTTAAACGCCATTCTGGCAGTGATTAGACTTTTAAAAAATAATTAATTCATCTTTATTGTAAAAACATTCTACATTCCAATAAAAAATGAACATAAATAACCCATGACCGAGGTTTACAAGTGAAAGTATAACTTCTTCAGAATTAGATTCATACGCTTAGGTACAATCCATTTCAAACATGCCAAATAAAAAAAAACTAAAAAAAAAAACTAGTAGTTATGGCTTTAGAATGATCAATTAAGCGGAAATTATCAAGAATTGCTGTAAGAGCGGACAAAATATAAACTTAATTATAAACAAATCTTTGACGTTTAGTCAGCAGCTGTTATAAATTATTATTTTCTAATTTTCTATTCTTCTGAGAACCTTGTCTCTAAGAATCGTCGCCATCGCAATCAGATTGGCGATCAACGCTCCGAGGAAGATAACCACAAGAACAATTACAAATTGTTTTTCCCCTTCAATCGTAATGCAGGGACGAGAAGAAGAAATATACAGCAGTGGCTAAGTGGTCATGAAAAATTATATTATACATTTTTCTCGAGGCATTCCTATAACACCGATCAACCAATGAATAGTTAATCATTAAAAGGCTTCCATGAAAACGAAACTTCTATTCTTTGAATCGGCCTAGATTATATCCTGTCAAAGGAGGAAGTAAATAAGGTTAATGAATTAATTAGTTTCAGATTCGCTGATCATCACCTTTTATCATTTGATTTAAAGGCGGTCGTTGTTATCCGTCATTGTAAAGACCATTTTCTCCGAATGAATTCTCGTGATAAGATGTCGAGCCAGGATACCTCTCCAACGCCGTACGATCGACCTGATGGTGTCACGATCTACCACGAGTCGACGTCAGTGGTGGCCGTCATCGAAGGTATCACCATTGTCGTTATCTTCCTCGGAGCGCTGGTCGCCAATCTGATTGCGTTGGCGACGATTCTTCGAGACAAGGTTCTGAGAAGGAACCTTCATAACTGGCTGATCCTGAACCTCATCATAAACGATCTTGGCTTTACAATCATGAACATATCATTCCTCGTAGTATCCGTGTTCGACAACGGCAATTTTCTCTATCACAACAAGGTTGTGTGTTTTGTGAGTCTCTTTCTATTTTGCATTCTTCGTCACCATGCTCATATAAGATTTTTACTGTACATGTATTTTGATTTGGGATATTACAGGCATTTTATGACTTACTTGACTTAGGTGCATAGAACCAAACGCGTACGCGGGGGGGGGGGGATGATACCCCCCCCCCCCTTAAGTTTTTTTTTATGTGTATGTTTTTTGGGAAAACCCCTCCCCCCCCCCCCCCCTTTTGAGTTTTTTTTGTTTTTGTGTAAATAAAAAAAAAGAAATACAAACAAAATATTATGCCAATGGCTGACCTAAAAAAGGTGACCTTACCCCCCCCCCCCCCCTTGAAAAAATCCTGCGTACGCCACTGCATAGGACGGTGTGTCCCTTGCTCCCCTACGAGAAATCATGCTCCAGTGTGATCTGTCCTGGGCTCGTTGCTCTGCCTCTTGTGTGGGTAATCCCACATCGCATTGAACCTGGTCCTTCCATCTCTTTGGAGGGCGTCCCCGAGGTCTGCGTCCATTAAAGTCATTCTGGAATGCTTGGTATGGTAGGCGGCGATGCGGCATGCGTAACACATGGCCAAACCATTTCAAGCGACGTTTGATTATTTCCTCGCATATGGTGCTTGGGACGTTCAGTCTCTGCCTGATCTCTTCGTTCCTAATCTTGTCCATTAGGTGAACTCCAGGGATGGTCCGGAGACACCTCATTTCAAATACCTCAAGCTTATTTCTATCAGATTTTCGGAGAGTCCAGGATTCTGCTCCATTATGTGGCAATAGGGAGGATAAGTGCTCCGTAGATCCTGACTTTGAGTCTCCTAGCAATATCTTGGTTGGGCCAGATGACACTTTTCAGTCTTCCGATTGCCCAAGCAGCCAGTCTTGTACGTCTCTTCACGTCCTCTTCTGTGGAAGGAACTGTGCTGCCGAGAAAGACAAATTTTTTCACTTTCTCAATGTTGGTGTTGCTAAGTGAAATCTCTTGTCGATCCTCTGTCATGACTTTGCATTTTGTTGCATTGATTTTCATACCCCCATCTTCTATAAGCCTTCTCCAGCTCATTTGTTGAGATCTGGAGGTTTTCAAATACGAGTTCCATGAGGGTGATGTCATCTGCATATCTGATGTTGTTGATACGCATTTCACCCATCTGTATTCCACTTTCTAGTTGTTGGATGTCCTTCATCACATATTCCAGGAATGGGTTGAAGAGACTTGGAGAGAGGAGGCAGCCTTGTATTATCTCAGTTATGACATCAAACCATTCAGTTATCTTTCCATTCACCATAACAGAGCATTTGGTTTGTTTGTACATGCTCTCTATGAGGTCAACTAAGGAACTTTATACTTCTCATGAAAAGAACATGTGTAATTTTTTTTTCTACATTTATTTATATTCATATTTGGTATTTCACATTACAAATAACAAATCTAATATGACTCCTCTCCTCAAAAAAAAATAGTATCACTCGATCGTTTCAAATTCTATTGAATATGAACTTTCATAAATCAAGTAATCCTGAAATAGTTGCTCCATACATAAACGGGGGATGAATGCTAGAGCTACCAATCATTAATAAATCATCAATTATATTTTTTTATATCTTTTACAGCATATTTTGATTTCTAAATTCCCATATCTCTATGATAATTTTTTTTTAAAGACAGGGTTGCATGGCAAATTATCCGGGGAAAGTTACCGCGTGTGATTATACTTAGTGGGGAATCATCACATGAAGAATATTCCCGGTGTAATGGTCCAGGGATATTTCGTCTGGATATGAAACATTAACGCAATCTCATTTATCATTGCGTGCAGATTAACGGGAACGTTCTTTTTGCCTTCGGGAACTTTATCACAGTCTTGGCAATCTCCGTGGACCGCTACTTGGCCGTAGTCTGGTCGGCCCGCTTCCCTCCTTCCCAATCAAGAACCATCGTCTTTATCGTCTTCTGTTGGGTCGCCGCCATTGGATCCTCCTTTCCCTCCTTATTCGGAGTCGTCTCTGCGATTGGGTACCAGGAAATTTCCCAGTCTTGCTGCTCTCCAGAGTGGCAGGAAGACTGTTTTTATTCCACGATCCTCAACGTCATCATCTATGTAGTCATCGTACCTACGATGGTTTTCTGCTATGTTGGTGTGTTCTTGAACGTGTGGCGTCAACAACGGTTGCTTAGGTCCTACGCCGACGAGAAACCTAGTATCGTGAGCAACGTATGTTCCGTAGAAGACAACGACGATGATGATGACAACCACGACCATGTGACCGATACTGACCATGACATGCAACTGGATGACATTGACCAGTCGAGTGAAGGGCCTACCTGCTCGGATCTTACTCCAGGGCCTATGGACTACTCCCAGTCTTCAAACATCGAGGAGCCTGACGCTGAACATGCTGAAGGAGAAAACGAGGAGAAAAAGACTATTCAACAGGAAAATATGATGACAGGAACCAAGAAAAAAGATCGTAGGTCTATGCAGAAGAAACTCAACATTGACAAAAGAGTTGCTCTGACTGGTAAGTACTGCCTGTGTTGGAATATCTTAAAGTTTGTAGAAATGTTTAATTTTGTGCAAATCGTAATGTTAATTTGACTGTGTTACCACAAGACAATGTTCGAAATGAAATGGCGGGTTTTAACACGTCAGAATGTATAATGTTACCATCTACATTCAGTTCCTTGTTGATATGTTTCATATGATTACCACCCAACACCTTTTTTCCAACATTGTCGGGTTCTTTCCTCTTTCCAGGAACCCTCCTGGTGCTAACCACCTTGGTCTGTTGGTCACCGTACTGCATCGTCTACTCTTGTCTTCTATCCATCAATATCCCCCATTGGATGGGCGTGGCCACGGTGTGGCTAGGTTACTCCAACTCCCTATTCGACCCTCTAATCTACTCGTTCATGAATAGACGAATTGCAGCCCGTTATCGTGACATGTTCAGACGTTGGTCGGTTGGATTGAATGCAGTAATCAGATGTAACTCCGGAGAAGCATGATTTTTTTTCCATGACAAATATATATAAATGTGTTTGTTGTCCGTTAAAAAGAAGGGGAAATAACGCCAATAGGAAACGTAGTGTTCATATTTAAATTGTATCAAGATAAATAGAAAACTGTTTTGCGTTATTATCATGAGACGCCGAATGAAATTTGAATGTTTGAAAGCTCATAATAATCACTAATAGATAGGAATCGGCAGTTGTCGAAATGGTCGTAATTATGATCGTGATGACAAAATCGTAACGTTGAATAAATCTCGCTTCGTATACATGTTAAGCGTCTAAATAATATATTGACTTTATACTCATGAGTGTAAGAGTAATCTAATCTTCGATTGAGTAACTCATTTGTATGTATACACCATCTATTTTAATCAATTGTCTGTTTGCACTCAAATTATATTTCATCACAGTCAATTGTACTGCTTTCGGCTAGTTTACGGTCACTGTGCTCAACATTAGAATACATGTTTTATTTTAAACCTAAGTTACGTTTTTAAATAAGTTTGACTCGTTTTCAACTTAAGAGCTCTGGGAATCATACAATACAGGACATCTTAATCAAGAAAATTACTGTGAGGAGGCGCGATGGCTCAGTTGTAGAGCAGTGGTCTCGTAACTGTGAGGTCAGTGCGCTCTTAACCTTAAGTAATTATAAGACATTAACTCTCATTACCAAGACCCTTGGGGAGGATTTAAAGCTGTTGATTGCTTAGCAGTCAGGTTAAACGAGCATCAATCATCAATTCATCATCATCATCAAACTTCATGTATAGGCTACTATCGATTGTCAGGAGTTTATGATTATCATTACGAGAGCTTTTGGTTTCATAGCAGTCAGGTAAAACGAACATCAATCATCATCATCTTCATCAAACTACGTGTAGGCCTATACTTATCGATTGACAGGAGCTGATGATTATCATTACGAGAACTTTTGGTTTCATTGAGCAAAAGACACACTCTTAGTGTTACAACCTAAAAACTCAGCTGCATGTAACAACAATTGAACTGAACTTCGAAAGTACAGTCCTATTGAAACCCTAACGGATCTTTAAAGGTAATACAAAGTTTTGGTATGGGGTCATGAGTTTGGTTCAAATGAACATATTGGAAGCATATGCAATCCTACAATATTTAGTGATCGTTATCGCGGTTGAAATCGAGTCTAAAGTTATGAAATTGTAAATAATACACTCTCTGTTATAGCTCCCTCTCAAGGTCAAGATATTAATTAAGCTGTAAAACAATGTTTCTTGACTAAAATCGACCGATTAGCTATTCCCATTCGGAAATTATATATCAGAACAACATATTCTGAGATTTTCATGGTCGCAGCTACCATTGTACGGCCGTAGGCGCTATTTGAAATTTATCAAAATTTACCGGGAGTGCAGGTAAATTTTTATTTTTAGGCTTTAGGGTTTTAGGGTCTAAATTTTGTTGTCTTTATAAGAATACAAACACAGGGGCTTCCACATAATATATCAAAATTGTAAAGAATCACTATCCATCCCATTTTCAAAATTTCCCAAACCTTTGTATTACCTTTAATATCTCTTTTCTGACAGAGCACTTGAATCGCTCTCTTTTATAAACTATCATTTCTCTTTCTTCATTATTTCATTTTTGTTTAGCAATTTTGGATTACGATTAGTTCAATTCCCGGAATCTGTGTGTAGGCCCCCATACAAAGCAAAATACTATTTTGTTAGGTCTATGTTGTTATTCTTTCACTCGATCTACATTATTATACTCCCAAGTGTTGGTTTCATATTGGAGGATTTCTTTTTCTTTTTCTTCAAGCCAGAGTCGAAACATGAACATGCATGGAAAAATGAACTGACAAACTGATAAATGAATAAATCAATAAAATTGATGGATAAAGGGATAAATGAATTGGAATGTATAAATAGATTAATATTAATCCAGTTGCTCCCAGTTGCGTTCATATCACAAGGAAATATATTTGAAAGGGCCAAGTCTGAGTTTGAGTTTGATGTTCATTATTGCTCCATACATTGTATCGTCACACATTGAACATGCAGGGTCGCAAAAAAACATACATAGACACAAAACGGTGTCGTCATAAGCACATCTTGAGCTTATACCTACTCTTGTTGAAACTATGAAGATGGGGCGGAATCCTTCCGGACCAAAGGGGGGGGGGTCCCTCTGGACCACAGTGGAGGGGGGGGGGGTGGTAATATCTGAGTTACTAAAGGCAGCATGCAGGCCGTATCGCCTGTTTCAGGATTTATGGGAGTCTCAGTGAATTCATTCAAAGCATCCTTTCATTCAAAGTCTATGTATACGATTCCGTTATATTCAAGATGACACATCACAGTCAGTGGCTGGCGCGTATGCAGGGGGGGGGGGGGGATGGGGGTCGAACCCCCCCCCCCCCTCAGTTTTGTTTAGGGTGTGTTTTGGTGGAAATTCCCCCGCCTCCCTCAATAAAATAAAATAAATTGTGTTTCAATGGGTGACCAAAAAAAGGTGACCCTACCCCCCCCCCCCCCAACGGAAGGATCGGCCAAATGTTCAAATTTTGGGGTAAAAAAAAGTGCTCTACCCTCCCCCCCCCCCCCCCTTATTCAGCGGGGCTGGCTGAGACGATGCGAAATTTTCGGCGCGATTTTCAAATTTTAACCCCCCCCCCCCCCCCCCCCCCCCCCCTGCGTACCCGCCTGGTCAGTGGCAATGAAGACGTGCCAATATGATTGGAGTATAGCTAGCCTACTCCCCATGGAATGCATGGAGAGGGTACTCATATTCATGTACTGTCGCAAAGTCTTTCCAAAACAATAGTAAGCCTAAGGTAAGGCTTGTACGTCACCTTGTGTATTTACGAACATGACAGTGACGAGTTACGTGATCCGAACATGATTTCTGTAAACAACAATCTGCGATATAGCTGGGCCCCGTTGCATCAAACTTACCGTTGATGGTAACTTTGCCATCAACGGCAACTACCATGGTAACAGGGCTCAACAGCCAGTCAAAATCGAGGTTTCCATGTTAGTTATTTAATGGCAAAGTTTCCATCAATCATGGTAAGTTTGCGCAACGAGCCCAGAAGCGGTCCTCAAAGGTTTTTTCTTTGGGGGCGGATGGCAGTTTGGGGTTATTACATTGATTTTCTACACGTGCCTCGATTATTTGTCTTTTATAATCGAGACAATTGACGGGGTGATAAAATTAGGGGTAGGCTTGAAACCCCACCCTCGGTAGTATATACCGCCAATGCTAAAAAAAATCCTTACGATTACGCATAATTACACTTGAGTTGGATAACGGGGTTATAAACTCAGGTAAGCTTTAAGAGCAAATTGGGGAGGATGAAAGGAACAACAGGACATGATGATCTTTCTTACCCCATATACCAGAAGGAAAAAAAATGACACGAACGAATTTACATTTGCAAATCTTAGAATCTCCTACCTGGAACCTACAAGTAGCTGATACACAGATGGCGCCCTTTTATTGACTACTAAATCCTAGATCGCGTGCAAAATGGATCGAAGAAAGTGAAATCAATGACAATCAATGAAAATTATTTAAAATAACTGTTGGCATCCAATCAGAAGAAAAAAATATTTATAGACAAGTTACAACTTTAGATGGTAGGAATGAAGAAACAACCGACCCAAAACAAATTTTAAAAGAAATTATACATTTTTATCACAATACTATTCTCAGAACATGAAATAATGGGAGGACAGATGATCTCTTTTTTAATAAAGTAGCTATAGTAAGAAGCTATAGTAAGAAGCTATAGTAAGAAGTCGTGTGATGAGAAAATTACATTTGGTGAATGTACTTCAATGCTAAATAAAATGTCTTCAAACAAATCGCCTGGGAATGACGGTTTGTCAGTGGAATTCTATCACATCTTTTGGCCTGATAAGGGAACCTTATTTTAGACTCCTTCAATACCTCCTTTGAGAAGGGTGAATAATTATTGTCTACCACACAGAAAGAGGGTGCAATAACGGTAATAAAAAAACGAAGACAAAATCCCTTTATATATTTGCAATTACCCTTCTTAATGTTGACTATAAACTTTTGTCTAAAATGTTGGCTGAAAAACTAAAGAATGTTAGAAGAGGTGATACAAGTATATCAAGTGGGATTTTTGCCTGATAGAATACAGGAGAAGCTGTGAGAATTATTGATGATGTCATATATTTTTACACACAGGTATACAATGTGCAGGCTTTTTTTATTTTTTTATTATTTGATTCCGAGAAAGCTTTTGACACCATCTCACACTCATATATGAATTTCTTAACGAAAAAAATGGTTTTGGCCCATATTTTTGTAGATGGATAGAAGTATTGTATAATATTGCAGTTAGCTGTATCATGAACGAGGGCTTTTCCACAGGCTATTTTGGAATAGGCAGGACAGTAAGACAAGAAGATCCTTTGTCTCCATAATCATAGAAACATTAGCAGTGGTTATTCGCAATGAACAGAAATTAAGAGGTATTTTGATAGGCAATATACAGACGAAGATAATAATGTATGCAGATGACTGTTCAATCTTTTGAAAGACACAGAATATATGAAAATCTTAGAAAAATAATAAATTCCTTCACTCAGGTATCTGGATTAAAGATTGATAAGGACAAAACACAAATTATGAAGTTTAGGTTTTCTAGTCACAGTAGTGACAATTTGACCGATATTACATTTTGGTTTCTCTGGTTATGGTGTTTGGGATATGCTTTTCTTTGGATATTAATGTTAAAGAAGAAATTAATCATAAGGAAATACTGAGGAAAATAAAAAGATTGTTAGGGTGATGGAAGCAACGTGATTTATCACTATTTGGGAAAATTCAATTGATTAAATTTTTGGCAATCTCTAAATCACTATAATGTCTTCTATAGTGTCAGTACCACCAAGGGTTTTTCGAGGAAGTTGAAAAATATGCTTTATTTCTTTATATGGGATGGACATCATAAGATAAAAAGGAATATCTATATTTGA